GAATTGGCATTTTTGATATGATGAAAATAGATTTTACTGTTGGATCTTTGGTAAGACATCAAGTCAAAGAAGGATTTAAACTTTCAATATGGAAACCATTTAGAAAGTGGGTTGTTCTAAATTTTTCATTAGAAATATAGAAATTTATTTCTGAAGAATTTTACAAGTTTCTATCGTATCATAATATTTTATTTATTTTTGTTCCATGGTTTATATCAACTCATATTGAACCACATATATGTGTATTAGAAAGGGATATAAACTTTTGAATGGAAATACATCAAAAGGGATATTTCCTAAACATCAACCTTTTAAAATAGAAAACGAGAATAATGTTATGAGATTTTTTTTTTTTTTTTGCATTTTCAAAATCATTTGAAGATGAAATTTTGACTATAACAGTCAAACAAATAAACAAAGTAATAGAACAAAATAATTATATAAATGTTTATTTAAATATTTAGAGGAACGGATTATATCTATACAAAGTAGGTTAGATAAGTTTGAACATTTGGTAGAGAATAATGGAGCTACTAGCTTTGCTAATTCTTCTAGTCCAAATAGAATGGAAATTATCACTCTTCCAACTCTTCAACCACCGCCTGAAAGAAAAGATTTTAAATTAAAATCCTTATTAGAATTAGAAAAATTAATAGATAGTAAATTTAAAAACTCAAAGATTAATGTGTTCAGTGGCAGAACCCTTTAGGGGCTCGGGGGTTACCGAGCCCCGGCCGGCCAGAGGCTTCCTTAGTCGTACTCATGGTTCACCTCCCGCCATGTATGTCAAGCGATTTTTTCTGACCATAAACCTATAGCCACCCCCCCTCCCCCCGCCTCCCCAAAAAAAAAAAAATTTGCGCGCTGGTTCCGCCACTGTGTTAGAAGAATAATTCTCAGGAAGATTGGAAGAAACTAAGGATTATAAAATAATAATAGATGATGAAATCATGCTGATAAACCTACTTAAAAATTATACTATTATAAAAGACCATCTTGTGTAGATATTTTACATGAAGAATAGGTATATATATATATTAAATAATTGTTATAATGGAAAATGTATTTATAAATGAAATATAGATGGTTATACTGAAAAACAGATATATAATATGGCTCATAGAATGTTAATGTATAGTACTATTTGTAAAGTTAATGGTAATAATGATGTGGGAATTGCAAAAATGATAGTTGTAGGATTTACTGGCCAACTAAAAGGCTGGTGGGATAATTATTTGTCTGTCCAGAATAAGGAAGAAATTTATAAAATTGTTAAACAAGAAGGATCTCAGGTCACTAAGAAATAATTGTTACTATAATTAAAAAAAAATTTACAAAAAAATTTTTCTGACAATACTGAAAATATAGGATTACCCAACTAGTAATAGTACTCATTATTACTAGCTGAAAGAGTTGTAGAATTGTACAATAGTAATAGTACTCATTAGAAGTCTAAATTTATATATGGATTACCCAACTTATCTGCTGAAAGAGTTAGAAAAGTGTTAAGAAAAGATAAGATGAGAATTATATTTATGGAAAATTAATAGGAACTTATATTCAGGAAGTATTAGTTATGTGTAATAAAATTAAAAGACAAAGGTTGACGGAAAGAAAACAATTAGGTCAGTTTTGTAGTCCATTTGGGATGGAAATTCCATCATTAAAAAAATGATAAGAAATTATTAAAAAGATGATAAATTATATAAGGAAAAAAAAAGACAAATTATTCTCAAGAGAAATTACAGAAGAAGACAATGAATGAGAAAAATGAAAAAGAAAACTAGAAAATAAAAAAGATAAAGCTAACATAATTTGTTACAAATGTAAACAACTAGGTGATTTTGCAAAGAGATGCAAGATGAAGAAAAAAAATCAATAGTTTAGACATTAACCAGGAAATTAAAGATGAGTTAGTTAATCCGTTAAACTCAGAATCTGAAATAGAAGTTCATATGAAGATGAAATAGATCACATAAGTCAGGAAGTTCAGATACTAAAACTAAGTGTTGTGTTCCTTGTAAAGGGACTAATAACTGTGTAAAACAAATTGATGATGAAAATGAAGATTTTTATAATGTAATATCTCAATTTAGAGAACCAGGCATTAATGTTTTAACTACTAATGATCTTATGGAATTTTTAAATTCAATAAAAGATCAAGAATAATTGAACAAGTTGGTGATATTCTGAGTAGTAGTAGTGAATAATTAAAAATAGATAATAATCCATATACAATGTCAGAAGTATGTAAAATGTTTAAAGAAAAAACTAGTAGTTTAGAAAAATTTCCTACTACTCTAAATGATTCAGGTGAAGAGATTAATAATCATAAATAAGAAATAAAAATTTTAAAAACAATTAAATAAAAGTTTAAATAATAAGTTTCTAATTTAGAAAATAAAAAACTAATAAATTCTTATGTTAATAAATGAGACAGAAAATGAGAACTTTTTGGAATCTTTGGACTTAATAACCTCTTTTAAATTTTATATTATTATTAAATTATTAGTAAATCATAATTATTAGTTAGAGTTAGTAGCATTAATTGACAGTGGTGTTGATGTTAAAGTAATACAAGAAGGAATTTGTCCTACTAAACACTTTGAAAAAACTATTCATGTGGTAAGACATGCCGGGGAAAAAGTTGTAGACATAAATTGTAAATTATCTAAAGGATATATCTATCTATCTATAGTATATATATTCTAAGAGAGAAACCAGAGAGAGAAAATAATATTTATCTCTAGAGTGCCATATCATAAAAAATCTTAGGTGTAATTTTCTTATAAATTCTCAAAATAAAACTTAGTGTAATTGTGTAAAAGTCCTCTAAATTTGGATTATTTAAATTATTTTGTCCCTTAAAGATTAGTAAAATTCAATGATATCCCGCTTTAAGTTTACAAAAAGATTAAGAAGCTGAATAATTTTTTATGTTGAGTAGCCATGAATTTGTTCTTATTCTTTTTCTTTTTTTTTTTGTTGTGTATAAGCAAATATTGTCTTTTTTTTACTTCTCATAACTTTTGAACTTAACTAAACTATAAAAATTAGGTCTATATTTTATTGTTGAATAAAAATTTCATTCAATAATAATAATAGATTTATAGGCGTCATATTGGTGTTCAGTATTAATATTTGGTTTGTTTTAGTAGTTCCATACCTTAATGTATTGAGTTCTTAGATCAACTTTAGCAAGTGAACTTTGGACCGATCATATCTGGACATCAAATCCATTTCTGTAACATTTTATTTGATTTCAATAAGTAAAATAAATAAAAAAGTAAGATTATAATAAAACAATAACGATAAATTATTACAAAATTATTATTTAATCCCGTGCACCGCACAGGTATAAAATCTAGTTTGCAATAATCAAGTTTGTATTCCTGTAAGTTTTTTAATAGCTAAAAATTTAACTAGCCAAGTTATACTTGAAACTCCTTCTGTAGAAAGAATTTTCCTAGTTACACACATGATGTTGATAGAATTACAGAAACATATGGAGAAAGACATGTATTTTTTAAGTATATAACTGAACCAAACACAAGATTTATAAATGAAATAAAGATCTTATTTTTTGAGAAAAGATCAAATTAATTTTTTAAAGTTTGAGCTTAATATATTTTTAATAGAAGAAGATTTTAAAATCAATTACAAGAAAAGATCAAGAAAATATATAATAATATTTCTACATAAATTTGTAATGAACATCCTATTGTTTTTTGGGATAGGAAATGCATCTTATTAGTCTTCCATATGAATAAGTTTTTGATGAAAAAACAATGATTAAGACTTTCTCAAGTGAATTCTGGATATCAAAAATTATGTAAAAATAAAATGAATATGTTATTAGAAAAAATGATTAATTAAAAAGTCAAATTCTCCATGATCATGTCCTGAATTCTATGTTAATAAACATAGTGGAGTATAAAAAGGAAAACCAAGACTAGTAATAAATTATAAATCTCTTAATAAAGTATTAAAATGGATTAGACATCCAATTTCTAATAAGGAAGATTTATTGGATAGATTATATGATGCATTAATATTTTCTAAATTTGACTTGAAGTCGAGATATTGGCAAATTCAAATTACTGAATTAGACTAATATAAAACTGCTTTTAATGTTCTAGTAGATCACTTTGAATGGATGGAAAGTAATGTCTTTTGGATTGAAGAATGTACCTTCAGAATTTCAAAAAATAATGAATGGTATTTTCATTCCTTATAATGAATTCATAATTGTTAATAAAACAAAATAGATTTGTTACATCTTGAGAGTTTAGTATTCTCCAAAGATATTTAGTTACATTTTGACCATTTGAATATATTTCATAGATTAATAAAATAAAATAGATTTGTTATATCTCAACAAAAAAATGCCTTTGTTTCAAACAATTATTAGATTTTTCGGACCTAATATTGAGAAAGGGAAAATAATTCCTATTGATAGAAATACTGATTTTGCTTCTAAATTTCTAGATGAACTCCAAGATAAAAAAATCAATTACAATGATTTTTAGGGAGTTTAAATTACATTTTACGCTCTTAGAAGAATTTAACTTATGATACTGCTATTTTATACGAGAGATTGAAGAAAAATCCAAAACCCTGGACAGAATTAACTAGAGGTCTTCATGAAACCATAAGAAGTGTCTGTATAGTGAAACAAAATAAGGGGAAAGTAACAATTATTGAGCTTCTTCTAATCAATGTTTTTATTAGTTGTCATTATTATCGTTTGTTAGAAGACTAAAAGCTTTTTTAAATGTGATTGTGTCATAACTCATAAAAAGTTATACGCATGCTTTTATTTTTCTTTTCTAATTCAACAGAATGAGGTTCTTTAGACATGAGCGTATCTGATTCGTTACTCTTCGTTTCATGAGTCAGTTGTTAGTTGCACATAATCTCATGGGATCACCTCAACTATATTTATTTTTTCACAGGACACAGATATATTATGGCTAAGGGATCCATTTCCAATACTAAACATGTTCAACGAAACTGATGACATGCAAATTAGCACGGACTGGTTCAATGGCCGTCCTAGAGGAACTGATAATCAGATCAACACTGGATTTTACCACGTTAGATCAAACAACAAAACCATATCCCTATTCGAACCTGGTACGACAGAAGACTGAATTCAAGCGATGTAAAGGAACAAGATGTTTTGCAGGATTTGATTACAGAAGGTAGTATCATCAAGGAATTAGGGCTCATAGTAAGGTTTTTAGACACCATCTATTTCAGTGGATTTTGCGCAAATAGTAAAGATATAAGAAAAGTGGCCACTGTCCATGCGAATTGCTGTCGGAGTATTGTTGCTAAGGTTGCGGATTTAACAAGAGTTTTAAGAGATTGGGAGGCGTCAAAGAAGTTTATTAGAAATCCGGCAGCCAATTATAGTGAGTTCAAATGGTCAAGTCATTCTGACTGTAAAAAATCTTGGAAGGACCCACCTCCAAATTTGATCTAGTTTAGGGCAAAAGATGTATATGTAATAAGATTGGGATTTTCTATCTCATTGATGAAAGTAATTCTTTTTCCTATTGTTCATACAAGTACATTTTAAGGTCAATCATGTGTAGTGTTGAGTTTAGGGAGATGGGGAGGGGAAGAGATTGGACCAGGTTATACATGGTGGAAATTACAGAGGTGATGAACATGTAAACTATTCAATTTTGCAGCCTGACTTCTTGGCAACGCTATTGGCTGACGAGTTGGGAATTTGCTATTTATCATCATCACCACAGAATTAATTACAAAATGAATCGGAATTTGGCTGTGCAAAATGAAAAGGACATTCTTCTTCTTTGCTTTCAATTTTCACTTTTCCTTTCTGTTAGGCTATACTTCTCAGTTCCTATCACTATAGAGCTATTATCTGTACAAGGTCATCACCTATACAAACAGATTAGCTGCATCTACTGATATTTCACATTCTAATCAAATTAAAGGTTGGTCGGAACTTGGGCGGTTCAAGCTTCCCTTGCAAACCATCTTTATATTAAAGGAATGAAACCCCAGATTAAAGGATTTGCTGAGGCTGAAGAAATAACATCACCGTGAAGCTAAAAACTGATTTATTCAACTCGACGTAGCCTCCTTGAAAGGACCAGAATCACTTAACAATCTTATAGCAAGCTCTACCTGTAAAAGAATGTACCGAATTGCATCAAACGATGCATATTAATACCCATTTTTAAGTTTCAGCCGGAAGGGAAGAGCAAACAATGCCTTGAGAATGTGTGGTTGCAATGTTGGATAATAAAATAAAACATGTTATCTATCACTCACCTGAGCTGCTTCTCTTTCCAAGAATTCAGCAATCACTTTCCGGAAATCCTCATCTTGGATATAGTGGCAGCTGTATGTAGTGACTGGAAGGTAACCTCTCTGGATTTTATGCTCACCCTGAGCACCCGCCTCAACTCTGTCAAGTTTAAATTCAATGGCTGCTTCGATTGCCTGAAACCACGTCAATGAATTCAAGATATTAAAAGAGCTCTTCCATTGCCCACTGGTGAATATTTACAATCCGTTGATAATTACACATAATGACAGAAACCTTCTCTTTAAAACGAGCAATATTCAAATTCAATGAAGTGTGTAATACTAATAACTAGAGTGAGTCTATAATTGGGGATTTACATCACTCCAACTTCCTACGCTGATGACATGAGAAGTAACTGACAAACCTGGTAATAACATGCTTCGAAGTGCAAGCTTGGATAGTAAACTTCTGGAAGACAACCCCAAAGGCGTCCGTATATTGTGTTACCTCCAATTAAATTAAGCGCACCAGCAACTAGTTCATCATCTTGTTCGGCTACCACAAGTAAAACATTATCACCCAACTTTGAGGCCATGTTGTGGAAGAAATCTCTGGTTAGGTAAGCACTGCCCCATCTGAGGCAAAGTAGTTGAGTAAATTTATGACACAAAAACACTTGCCAAGTAAAGCAATTCCTTTGAGGTAGAACGGGATGTCCAGGGAAGTGAGACTCACTTGTTATCTGTTGTGTTTCGATAGAATGTGTAGAATGTATCCCAGTGCTTTGCCTGCCAACAAACCAACATGGTAAATAAGACGTCAGTTCTTGATTTCTTCCAGCAAAAAGAGAGAAAGATGAAAGAGGCAGTAAATGAAATAAACAAACAAGAAAGAACAATGTATTAATTTCCTTTCCGCTTCGATGTACTAATAAGCAATATTCACATTGATATAAATCAAATCAAACAAGTAAACAGAAAATATTTATGGACAGACTCCATACCTTTATTTCATATCCTCTGAGCCTTTTCATGGTCAAATTTTGAGCTGAAATCTGCAAGAGACAATTTAAAAGTAAAACATTACTTTTGTCTGTTAAACCTCAGAAAGTGGTATTTCATAATCTAAGCCCCTCAAGAACTTTTCAAAATATTTTTTCAATGTATGGAGAATAAAGGGAAGATGTAAACCTTCTTCCGCTCTTGACGAATATTTTTCCTTTTTCCCTGCTTCATGTCCATCAGGAACTCGTCGAAACTGTTAAAAGTTCAAGACCACAAAATCAAACTCAAGACATATCATGATCTCTTGCAACTTTACTATAAAAAAAAAAAAAAAGCATTATTTGGATGTATCAGCTGTGGTTTGTAAAATCTACAGCTGAAATATTGGGGGCCAGAAAAAAGCTTCGGCAAGAAAAAAAGCTTCGGCAATCTAAAAGCAGCATAATCAGTAATTTTGATCTAATGGATTCAGAGGGCCACGTGAAGGTTCCTCTGGAGTCCCTGAAAAGCGACTTTTGCCAGGAAGCTGATAGTTAAAGGTTTTCCTCAAAATATAATCTGCGACCGAAACAATACACAAGTAGTTGCAGTAAATATTTAAAAAGGGCAGAAGAATGAAGTTTCACGACTACCTTCAAGGAAAGCATAAAGCCACAGATTGCTTTCTCCCAGGAGAGAAGAAATAAATTCATGAGAATCTAATAAACTGAATGCAGAATGCAGCTTTGGAAGAGAGAAAGAACAAAAGAAAGCAAACTTCTATAGAGTTCCAAATTTATGCAAACTCAATAAAAATTGTGGCACACTTGGATTTGGAAGAGGGGAAGAACAAAAAAAAAAAAGCAAACTTCTTTGTGTTCCAAATTTTTGCAAATTCAATAAAAATTGCGGGCACACTTGCCTTTTGTAATTACGATTTCTCCAGTGGTACTGCATACCAATCCTCTGAAGAAAGCCTTTTTCCTTCAACTTGCCCCATTCACTAGCAGAAGGAAAAGTAATGTGCACGGAAGATACCTGAAACTGTCCACGTTTCTCAACATGAATATTGGTGCAGGAAAAAAAAAACCAAAATTGACCCAAGTTATTGTACTTATGAATGTGCTTTTTAGTAGTAAATAGTCCTCCTCCAATGCAATAACATAGCTTCTTATTGTTAAGGTTATTAAGTAGATTATATCTTTTCATTAGTTTTTAAAGTAACAAAGAAGAAGATGATGAGGAAGGAAAAAAACCACAGATATGACAGGGGTATAGCAACCAAACAAGGTCGAAGTTCATAGACTGCCATGGTCGAATCAAGCCATCCGGGGGAACACTCAAGGGTAATGGCCTAAAATCAATCACGCTAGATCACACAAGAGCTAATGTTTTTAACTTTTAGTTGGAATTTGGACACAAGTATGTGTAATTATCTGTCATTTGAGGTAAAATTTCATCAATTTCTGTAGCTTGATAATTTTAGATTCAGGCATCTGTCTATCTTCTTCAAGAAACCCAGTACTCAAGATCTGCTGTCACAGGTTGCATCTAACATCCATTATTACAGCACTAATCAAGCATTTCCATTGATTCGTACGCTTTGCTAAAAATCAAGACAACAGTTATTCATTCTGCGCTATCAACTGCGTCAGCTAACATGATAAAAAATCATCAGAGAAAGAAACAACTAAAACTACTGAATCAAGTAATTTCATGAATACCTTCGCTGCTAGATCCTTCAATGCAGATACTAGAACGTCAAAGACTGCATCCTTGTACTCGGTGTTACGAACTAAGATCCTCTGGCCAGTAACTGGAGTGAATGGCACGCAACATTGTAGTTTCGGGTAGTATCTTGCACCATAGTGATAATATGCATTTGCCCAAGAATGATCAAATACATATTCACCATAAGAATGGCTGCAGTTTATGTGCATTATAAGGGTGAGTACACCCAATAACATGTTTAGAAACTGAAAAGAAATGTACTGTTTACACTAATTCTTTCATTGCTAGACCTTTTAAGGTAGAGAGGGACAACTCCTAAAACTTTATTGTGCTCATCTCGTGCGACTATGTGTTGCGGTGTCCAACCTGTCTCCTGAAATAGCAGCATATAAAGGTCTTGGAAAACAATTGTTACTTTTAACTTGAACAAACTAAACTAAACCTCCATTGATATCCATAATCATTTCGGCAGCAACTATTACCAATGATGTTACCAGAAGAATTAACTAGGAGGTCCCTTTACAGAATGTACTGAATGTTCACAAATGTTAAAAGTAGAGGACAGAAATTTTTGCCTTTCCCAGCTATGTTTAAAACTACAAGAAACTGAACGGTGTAATATTTAGTCCTAATTTTGTAAAGGTACTTAATAGTGAAAGAATAAGTGGTTGGTGCTGACCTTAACAGCGCAAGCTGATTCCTCCAAGCTTGACAAAAAACCATGAGAAATGAAGGGGTTAAAATTTTCGGGGCCTGAAGAGTCACAACTACATTCATCCCATTCATGAGATGAAACCTCTGAGATTGAGGAAACTACTGAAACTGATACAGTTTTCACTCTGTCTGACCCCGATGCATCTCCCTATTCAAGAAAGAAAACAAACTATGTTACAGAAACACAATGAACTAGGAAGCTAACATTTGACAACTGCAAACAGCTCGAAGAATAAAATACCCTTGAGCCTGACTCTCGTAATCTGAAATCCCCCAACGAGACGTCCGGTTTAGCACTCTCCAGAGACTTCTTCGGTCCCCAAAATAGACAATATATCCTCCTTACAGGAACTTTCCGCTGGATAGTTTTCCCTGATGTATTGTGCTGCAGATGCACAACTAAAAATCAAAACACTCCCTTAAACCAAAATTCAGACCAGTGAAAAAAAAAAAAAAATGATACTATATGATAGGCTTAGAGAATGCGAGTAGTACAAAGCAAGCAAAAAAAAGGCTTGAACTTGTACAGAACTGTTATCTCCATCAATCATATCAAAAGACGATGGCAAACAACTTAAAAAATGATTACTCCATTTCCTCCATCTACTAACCAATTTTCTAATTTTGTGTATAAAATGACTCACTCAGAACGCGTATTGCCTAACTGGAACTTGTTACACCAAATAAAAACAACGAACACCGTGCATATATGTGATCCATTGGTTTGAGGCTCCAAGCAAGGCTGCCCAGAAAAGCACTGAACACCAGAACTTTGAAAAGAAACAAATATCCCAGCAATAATAGTTCTTCTACTACTATAAGATTGTCGAATTACATTCTGCAACGTTCCCGAGTGAAAACATGGTAAGATATGCCTTATTGGCAAAGATCAAAGTAGCAGTCTTTCAAAAAAAAGGGACATATTTCTACAAAATGAATGAAATAACAAAAGCAGCAGCCCAGATGGAGCTTTCAATTGAGCTAAAGCAGTAATTGGGGAAGAATATGTGGAACGATACAAAGGGGTGGAAGGATGGAAAAGCTTACAGGCTGAAATGGGATGTGGCCGAGAAATGTTGAAGAAGAAGAAGCAGCAGCCACCATGGCCATCCCAGTGCCCCGGAAAAGTAGAATAAGAATCCGTTTGAAACCGAATTGTGCTGAAATTAGATGACAATCCAGCTTTCAAGTTTTTTTTTTTTTTCCTTTTCCCCTTTGATTAATTTTCCTGGGAAGTCAAACTGTCAAAACTCAAAAGTGCAGGATGTGGCTGATTATGGACCTTTTTTTTATTTTTACAGTAACCAGTTAACGGGTCAGGCCTAATTCGTTGCAAGAAATTGTGGATACTACAAATATGGTTATTATTGGGGGCAGATATTATAATTTGAGTGGCTGCAAAGCAAATTTATGGATACTACAAGGAACGGGAATGATTAGAGAAGCCTTTTTTGAAACGGTGATTAGAGAAGTTGAGAAACAGAAGAATCATAGGAAAACAAAAAAAAAAAACAAGGAAAAGAGGAGGAATTGCAGAAAAACAACCCAACGGGATTTACGGAAATAATTTGCCAGAGACATTTTGAAAAAAAAAAATTAGAGTATGGATCCAAGCGAGATTTACAATCGAATTAATGAGCTGCTCTATTATTAGCTAGATAGTAATCTCAAATTAGGATAGTATCCCTTTACAAAAATCAACGAATTCGTGGAAATATAGAAGCCAGTCACAGAGGAATTCGGCACTAGAAGCTGCAGAACAGCAGTAAGGGAGATCAAATATACAAGGACTGTCCAGGCCATACGCTTATAATATCGGATAACAAAATCCACCAACTTCTATCTCCTTATTGATGATGCATCAACAAAATAATGGTCACTAATTAGTCGAGGAATAGTCAGGCGAGAATCCGGCGAGCAGTATTAGTGTAAGTATACTTCTTTTGAAATTCACAGAGCTCCTAGGATCGTCTTTTAACACCTTTGATAAATTCAGGATGTGGCACTGGTCCTCAGTCTTGGAGTCTTTTGCTTGACAAAGAAGGCCGAAAGCATGCTCTTGCTCCGAACAGGGACGTTAACATTCTCCCGCTTACCCACATTGTCAAAAGATCTAAATGGTGTCATGGGTCTCCTTCCCTCAACAGTATCCTGAAAGGAAACAAAACCTCAGCAAACCCTCACCATGTTCTAAAAAAAAAAATCTCTAGACGTGTGCAACAAGCAAAAGGTGAAAGCAAGCAGCGTGCTGCAGCAAATAAACAAACTTAATGATCAGAGTATAATTCAACAGAACAAGTGTGCAAGCAATCAAGTAACAGCACGTGGCAGGCTAGCAACGCACGATCAAATTACTGAACAGAAAACAAATCGCTAGCAGATGAAATAACTGAAGTGCACAGGTGAAGATACGGCTAACTACCATCATCACAGTGCATTGCTGTAAAGAGCATAATAATGCACATTTCAATGTGTACAAGAGAAAAGATCATCACTCCATTATTAGTGATCTTACTCTAACATGTATTAAGCATTTCTGATCTAAAGGTTTTCTACACACTCATTGTCATTTTCCCCATCAAGCTAAGCTACTTGATGGTTGCACTCCCTCTATAATCTCAATTTTCAGGCCTCGTCCCTTCAATTTAATCAATGTTAAAGTGCTCACATTTACAGAAATTCTGAATCTTCGACACTTAGAAAACGATGGAACAAAGGAGAGATATACTTGACTAATTTTCGCGTTCTAAGATCATCCAGCGCCTAGAAAAGAAAGTGCAGTTAAGAGTACACATCTGAACATTCAAATACACATTAAAAAAAACAGTCAACTAAGCTATTTTGATGCTTCTAATACTTCAGCTCTCACAAGAAGTTGCAATCTAGGAACTAACTGAAGCTGAGAGTTATTATATGTTGCTCTTTACAAAGGTACAGCTCAGGTTTTTAAAGCATGGGAAGACCTATTACATCAGATCCATGAACATTGAATTTTACCTTAATTAAGATACTTGTCTTTAGCAAAGATTGATGAACGCAACGAACCACACTAAATCAAATTACTGGAACATTAAGAACTAGCTATTGATATGAAAACATTCACACGACGGTAAACATCTGGAAAAACATGTCAAAATTCTAGACACTGAAACCCTGCAGATGATAAACAAATCAAGCAAGTTTCAGTCCCAGAGCATTCCCACATTACCCGTTGGGAGATGCCTAATGTTTGTATGGCCACAGCTGAAGCAGGCCCGATGTTTGGCAATTTAGTGTGAGCTTTTGGGGACTTTAGCTGTTCTGCATCTGTTTATGACAAGCAATAATTCATTCAAATTAGATGCATAAATATGAGGCCGGGTGTGATTTATTCAAGAACATAATATCAATAAATTGGATCTGACCTAAAGAACTGAGTGATGAAGAATTCTTTCCTGAACTTTTAGAGTCCTCAGAGCTATGAAATGACAAACATCATATCAGCTTTAAAAGACATTTAAAAGGAAATTGGCATAATTATGAGAAACAAAACTAACATACTGACCTCAAAGATGAACGCAAAGATCCTTTTAACGAGGACTTGGTTTCTGAAGCCAAATGCCAAGAAAGAGTCTTTGCTGCAGGGGTACCTGAAAATCATTTAACATGTTCATACAGGCCCACGAAGATCAACATGGCCTACTTCATTAACCAGCACATCAGCTACCTGAAGGATACAGACGTGGTTTCGCATGTATTTGTTGTCTGGGATCCATCTGAACGCGTGGACTAAAGTGTACCTTCTTGTTGACAGAATCTATGAAGGAAAGCGAAATGAGGCAAATAAATAAACAAACACAAAATGACAATTCAAATTAATGACATAAGCAGTTTGACAACTTAAATGATCATACTTGGTAATGTGTAATGCTTATGATGCCTTGGAACGATTGCCAACAACCGCTGCTGCCGAAGACCTTCTTTCTCCGAGAAGGTTTGGCAAGTTAGAAGTCGCTTACATAAAACAGAACAAGTTCAGCCTATATAGTTCTGAAACCCTCAAAAGAGATATCCAATTGAAAAGGCAATCGAAAAAGCTTACCTGATTTACACATGTGATCTTGAAATCCATGGATGAGATATCGATGGTATGCTGATCAAGAAGGTCAGTCAACTTGTACGCCACAGTCCCCAAATGGTCAACAGCGTTCACGAGTGCACGTACTGCATAGTCTTTTAGATTATCCAGTACCCTAATGTAATTGTGAATTCAAATGTGAGATTTCACAATTGACGAGTTCAATGAAATGTAACAAAAACTTGATCAGAAACTAGTATGATGGTTACACTACTGCAGGAAAAGCTTCTGATTGCAATTTCCGTACAATTTGACCAAAATCAACAACCCCCCCCCCAAAAAAAAAAGAAAAAGAAAAAGAAGAAGAGGTCAATAAAGACAATTCTCATACATTTGTTTCTGTTCGCTATGAAGATAAGACTTTTCACAGTACTCTGCCGCAGAATAAAGTTGCGGCCTCAGATTCTTCAGTTCCTGCATTAGCCAGGAAAAGAAAAACAAAGTTACAAAACTGAGCAATAAGAGAGAACATCCAATAGCAGCATCTCCAGACACAAAAGCTACATTCATAAAAATACTCAAATATACTTCAGCATTCAATTCCAAAATGAAAAGGCGTTGTTACGCCGGCCATCATGGTGATAGCCACAAAGCATTGAACTCAGGAAATAGTTAAATTAACGACGTGAAGATAATTAAACAACCTGAAAAGAATCAAGGGGCTGCTGGAAGGGCACAGTTTGTGTAAATGGTGATAGAACTTTTGTGACACTCATTATCTCTAAGATGACACAAATATTATCACACATCAGTCTCCCAAAACTAATAAATGAACCCACGAGCATCTCTAGTCATTATTATCAGTTGGTTTTTAGTTAGATACTCAGATTAGCTAAACATGAGCTTCTGGTTTAATTTCCAAACATGACCAGCTCTTTCTAGTACAGTATTCACTGGATTGGTTCTTCTCCATTCAGTTCCATTTTCAAAAGCAGCTCAGTTCGAGCATTTGCTATCTTCCCAATTGAGTTACACACTCTGTTCGCCCTATATCAGGTGCACATGTGTCTCGACGCAAGTTCAACCCACATTGTTTGTGAGGGATTGACCAATGGATCGTATAGCGGCCTATTGGTAATAATGTCTCACATTGTTTACAAGAGACTTAAAAATACGTTAACCGGATCCTTAAGCCTCTCTCCTCTTTAGTCATTACCAATCGCACCAGAAACGGTAAAATCTAACACCAAAGAAAGAGGAAAATGAAATCATAACTTCCCGTACTAAAGAAAAATGATAGAAATCCATCACCAAAGCAGGTGAAAATGAAAAATAAAACTTCCAAGACTGCAAATATAGAGTAATAATTCAATACGGAAAAGGTACTGAAATCCATAACTAAAACTATGTCAGCTTTAGCCCAAACCGGAAAATCACAAAAGTCCACAGCACCAGAATTAGTAAACCAAAATCAAATAAATTTGGATATTATATAATTCAAATTAACTCTACTTCAGCTCCAGACACAGAAAATACAGTTGATGAGTTTCACCCATACATACATATCAGGAATAAATAGCAAGTTCTTCAAACTAAAACGAAATAAAAACTGCGTGGAAACACATTCGTATCTTAAAACCAGATCTGATAGGAAAACTCGTGAACTTCAAACTAAAATAAAATAAAAGGAATGAAAGCAAAGGAATTACCTGCAAAGCCTTAACAAAACTCTTGCTCCGCTCCATTGATATCTCATCGTAGGTCATCATCGCCGGGGGTTTCTCCGCCCCAAATTGCTCAACTTCCATGCTTGATCCTTCGCTGTTTCTTTCCTTCTTCTCGCTCAGCTAGCTTTTCTACTTCGAGTAAGTTTGAAAGTATTCGAAATTTAGCTGGTGATTTGCGAATGTTAATATGTTTAATGTACAGAGGCCTCAAGTCGAATAAGGAAGGTGTTGGTTGGCGGTGGGCCGGTGGCGGTGGTGGTGGTGGAGGTGGAGGAGGGTGGATACCGGTGGATGTGGGGAAGGAACAGTATTAAAAAATTGGGCGTGAGAGTGTGTGTAATGAAAGCAATCCCGGGAAATGTGAATTTTGTTTTTCTTTTTTGTAATAATGAGGCCGAGTTAATTTCAAAATGCAACCTTCATTTCTTATCTAATCGCCAATTGCTCCGTTAACTCTAGGATTTGTACATTTAACTTCACTCAGTTGACATAATTGTTAATCATGATTGCATAATCTTTTGATAGTTTAACATCACATGATTATTTCTTTTTTAATTGTTAAATTCAAAAAAGACTAACAACACTGATCGTAAAAAAAGAAAAAAAAAATTCATGTTAATCATATCGAACCATTCGTATTGAAGAATTATTTTGTAAAAACAGACTTATTTCATTCAAATCAAATAACAAACTCACATTTCATCATAACACGTAAAATTATCTTTTTAATATAATTACGCAGTTACTATCAAAATTCTGAAATCACACTAAAAAGAAGAGTAGTATCAAAATCAAATATCTTATGTGCCAACTTCAATACTTAAAAATACAAATGAAAACGAACACATGCCACTAACATGTAAGAGCAGATTTTACGGGTACTCATCACTGGAGAGAGTTTAAAAATTTTGTGCGTAGAAGCATATTCAAGCGGTTGAATCTGACCATTCTAGGCCCTAAAGTATTTTAATAAGAAGAAAGAGAAAAGTTTATTTCAAATTTGCTCTTTCTTTCATCTTTTTTTTTCTTTTTTTTTATTTTTTATTACCTCTTAAACGACATAGCATATGTGTGTCAGTGTTTAACTATTGGAAAAAAAAAATGGTATATGATAAAATGCTGATGTGGAGTTCAAATAGAGTGTAATTAATGTGGATGCTCTAAAGTCTAAACTACAAATGAACAAGCTCAATGATAATTTAGTGAATTTGAAATGTGAAAATTATAGGATAGCATTTGGACTAAAGAGCAAAGAGTCCATAGTGTTGTGGCATTTTATTACAAATAATTCAAAGTTGGAGGTAGTATTGTTGCAAACAGCGAGCTGGAATAAAATACAGAGGGAATCAAGGATGGAGTTGAATGCAAGTGAAAGTGACGTCGTATCAAGCGAATACCGATGTTGACTTGCACTCTATTTATGGGAGAAAAGAGCTGTCGAATTTAATGCAAGATTAAATAAGAAGGAAAAATAATGAATGAATAAAATGGGTAGTTAGAACCGCGAAAGACTGCCCAGTGCGCCGTGCCCACCCTCCCTGTCTCTGGGTTTGGAGAACATTTAAAAAACTAACTGCCAGCACTGGTCCCTCTCATACGCCCTGGCTTTTAACATGCATTTTCTTCTTCTTGTCCTCTGCGCTGACTCAAGATACCGTAAATAATTAATCCCTCCATCCCAAAAAAAAAAAAATCACTGTTATATCTTATAAATTGTATAAAAAAAATAATTTACAAGTTATAACGTAGACTATTTTTCTAAAACAGACCAATAATGGTGTATCATCTGAGGAGAGATTTGGACGTATATGATACTCAAGAGTTACTACCAATCTCATCCCTCTTGGATCATTTCGAGCAAATGCCCATGTAACTTCTTTGTGCTTTCTTCATTAGGTCGCTGAACATTAATCAGCATGTATACTTAATGCTTACATTTCAGATCGGATATAACGTCGCTATTCATTGTGATTTGCATACAAGATTGTTGAATAGTTCACTTTTTACCGAACACTACTAAGGTATTTTAGTTCTGTCTCTAGATTCTGGCTCCGCAATCTCTCTAGAAACCGATACTGCTAAATCATGAATCCATGTCCTCTTCCTATCATACATTTCGTCTAAGAAGCTTTCCCTTTATGGTATAATCAGTACAATTGGATCTTGTCTAGCACAAATTTTAATATGTATATGTACTTGCCACTCTAAAGCCTAAAAGTCGTCTTGATCTGGACTTTCTGTGCCAAAGTTTTCGTCTTGCTAAATTGGGCCAAATTATTTCTGTTCACTGTTCTAACCGATATGAGGTCTATCCAATTGTTCTTTGGTTCATCAAAAAGAATAGCATCCATGAAATGAAAACATAAGCAGTGGCAACATATATAGAAGGTCCTCTTATTGTTGAGGGAGGGAACTAATGATCTATTGCAACTTTATAAGTACTATACGTATATCCATCCTATTAAGTACAAACAGGCGATCGTAGTAGTAGCACTTGCTGAACTATACACAAGATTTACAATCACAACAGCACAACGAGAACCCACCCAAACCAAACAGAACATGCACTTAAACCATCTATCCAGCTCAAGCATTACACTAACACAAGAGTCAGGCCCTTGGGATAAAAGGCCATGAAGCAAACTTGAGTCTTCACAAACATGGTTTGACCTTCATACACAAGCCGTGCGCACACTGCATTTCTGTCATAGGTTTGAAGGTGTGGGACAAAATTGCTCAAAAACTTCATCTCTGCTCAGTTACTGTACTATGATACTGTAAACTATTCCTTATCAGATTGTGGAACACTGGCAAGAAGAGAGGATACATAATGCTCGATCCCTTCGAAATTTGTCTGCTGTACAAATTCTCTGAGAGAAGATGATGAGGTCTTGAAGTAGGTAGGCCTAGGAGTTGAGGGGCAACCAATGGAACGAATCAGATCCTCAACAGAAAGCACATGGAACTTTGGTGGCGCACGAGGAGGAACGATGTTGTGAACTTGATGCTCGTAGATCTTTCCATTCTTGTCGAGCTTGTACTCAGAGGTACCATCGAATCTACCGTGGCTCTCCCATGGAACTCTAGGAACTCCGTGGGCTGTCCAGCGAACCATTATCATGTTATCCACAGGCTGCCACACGCTGATGATGTCAATCCACAATGCTTTGAAAAATATTCTGCCATGGAATCTTAAGCCCCAAAATATCGATTTATAGTTCTCAATCCCGACAAAGGTGTTGAGCGGATCTTTAAAGGTTATGTCATCCCTAGACATGGAGGGTGAAAAGCTTATTGCTAAATGGTAATGTGACATTATAATATGCAAATGCAGTCCACTATATACACCAGAATGGAATCTAAAAATAGTAAGCAAATGAGTAAAGTTGGCTCATAAAACTAGAAAGGCAAGGGTCGTGCAACAAAACACTCCAACACTGAAGCTACTCGAGGTATTATGATTGCATCCCAACTTCAGTTAACAATGGCAAGTAAAATAAGATACATGAATCTAACACTAAACAGTTTGAAATAAACATACTGACGGAGCCAAAGGACGAGAGCAAGTGCGGCCACGTGACCCACATACCTCCATTCATTACACCAGATAGAGTTGACCTAAATTTTTAATATGAGGTTAAATAATTTGTTAAACAATGCACCTGCTTCATTGAAATTCTAAGCATACAGACACATAACAAATTTTATTAAGTCTACTTTTGAATTTCACACTTGTTATACTACCTAGCTCCATCACTTATATGCCCCTTCATATGAAAGGCGAGCTTAATCTGTATGAGTACTTAAAATTTTGAGTTTTAGATTCTATTTTTACATTCCAAACTACTTGCAAGTTTTTAAACGTCAATGTTTATACTCCACGATTTCACCTAGATGAGTGGAAAAGGCAACATGGAAAACTAATGTCAGCTAGAAATCTATTAGAAATGAATGATGCTGAATTCATCTTTTTAAGTTGAGCTATAAACTTTTATGACACCTGATCAGTTGAGCTGCCAAACGAAATGATTCCTCATCGTACATGTTGAAGCAAAAACAACTTAATAAAGATTCAATGTCCAAGCCCAGCTAAACACTATCAGACTAAGACGCCCAATTCAGCCTATTTTCAAACTAATAGCAAAAATCAGAAGTACTCCCAAAAAAATTATAAAAAAAAAAAAAGCCATAATACTTCAATGAAATTGGTTACCTGTAAATATCAAAGCTGGGTTCTTTATAAAACAGCGCCGGGAACTCCTCCCTGAGAGTCCGAATAGCATAACCCGTATTCAAATAATAGTTCCGCTTCTCCTCCTCCTCTTTGCTAGGTTTTGATAAAGATGACGCCGTACTCGGTTGCTGCTTCACTGGAACTGAAAACAACTGACCCGAATTCAAATTCAAACACACATTTTCCCCCAAATTCAATACCTCCGCAGCATCCTCCAAATGCTTAACGCCGTCTTTTAAACCGACCCGAATCCCCGAACCAGCAACCACTCGTTTGCCTAATCTACAAACTGCCGTCCTGGAGGGAATTACCCTCGCCGGGGTTTCAAAACACCGTCTGCCGGCGGAGATGGAGGGAACATCCGGCGAAAGCAGAAGAGCCATGGGAAATTCTTAATTGAAAAATCAAACGTCGGTGAAACCCGATAAGGGCATCTTTACATGGGGATATTTTTTCTGCGCGAGAGTATACGAATATTCGAGACGAAGAAATTTGTTTGATTGCTGAGAAGAAATGAAATGAGGGAAGAAAAGTAAAATAAAATTCTGAGTTTGGAATTTGGATTTGGTCGGAAAAGGTGGGGAGGGAAATTAAAGGGGTTGACGGGAAGGGTCCAATTTGGATAAGTTTTTGTTTTGGGGGTTTGGATAATTTCAATTATATTGGTTATTTTCATGGAAATTAAAATTTGATTGGTGTGATATTTGATGTTAATATTTAAGTTAATTGCAAACATGTACCCTTCCGTCCCATAATTATTGTCCACTTTGCTCAAAAAATTTTGTCCCAAAATTATTGTCCAATTTGACTTTTTATGGATCAAGTTACACATTTGTCCTTAGTAAAAAACATTATCCATAAAATCTTAATGGTTAAACAATTACTTATGTAGGGGTATATCCGGTTGTTTAAGGTAAAATATAGTTAAGTTTGACCAAAAATAAAATTTTTCATTTGAGTAAAACTGGATAATAATCATGGGACGGATGGAGTATTTGGAGAAAGTGTTTTTTTTTTTAATTACCCTCTTAATTTTACTTTTTCTTTACTTTGCAAAATGCCTCATCTAAGGTCAATATTTATGTATGCCCATAGTTGATTACTTTATAATTCGTCAATCACTTCTTAAGGCCATCAAAAACAATGAACTTGTTTTCTTATCGTGAATGTTATAATAACAAGGACCGGATGTACTTTTCGTCTCCCAACTTTTAAGGGTAGAAAGATAGAGTCATTATATATTTTCAATTGGTAAATATAGTTCCCTAAAATATTATTTTCATCAATTTTGATCGATTTAACAGAATTTTTACACATTTAACGAATTAATTCTTCTCTCCGTTAATTCTTCATTTTTTAAATATTTTTTCCTGATTCTGGGGCCTACAAAGTTTGACCCAGCAAAAAAATTTTATTCTGTCCACACTACCCTATCTTATTCTGTTTAAGACCCAAAACGACTGCGTAGACTTTTCTCTTCTTTTTTTGTCTTTTTTCTTTCGTTGTGGTTGAAACAAAAACTAAGCAGGTGTCTGGTTCAGCAAGGACTATGGGTTTGAGAATGATAAAAATATGAGATTCATTCACAACAAAGATTGCTAAGGGTGTCAAAGATCCCATTCAGCCGCTTGGTTCATAAATTTGATATATTTGAGATTGTAGTCAAAATACGGTTTTATCCTTATCTCTAAGAGTTGACAATTTGACAACAATTTACCGCTTCCACCGCCTTTGCTTCCACACACATCGCCTCCGCCGCATGTGAACCTCTGTAGACTTCAACTCACAAGAGGTCCAAAAAAAATTCCAAAATCGAGCCATAAAGTTGCTAGATCTACTCATTTGATTTTTATTTCTTATCATCTTTTCGCAAAAATCAAAGAGTGATCAATTATCCAACATTCCAAAATCAATTTTTAAGAACAAAAAGGAAATTGAATTTTGAATGGACTAAACATATCTAAAATTAATCTAACTGATGCTTTAATGGTCGGCAAAATTGTGGCAGCAGAGGTGGAGGTGGCGGCTGCGCGAGAAAGAGAAGAGTAGGAGGAGGAACAATGAGGGTGATGAGATATAAAAAAAAATGATGGTTTGGGGTTTACGATGTATAATAAAAAGGGTAAAAAATAAAATTTGTTTTACTATCTATTATACCTCTCAAATTAGTGTGGAATAGAAAATTGAGTTTCAAATCTCATTTAATGGTTTCAAACCCTCAAACCAAGCGTGATAAATGAAAAACTTTGGAATGAAAACCCACACTTTAGATATCATAACCCCGAATCAAGCACCTTGTAAAGCTTTCCTCTTCAAAAACTCCCTTTCACCTCTGCCGTTCACCAACCCAATATTTTCCAACCACCAGAATACACAACCCTTTCTACACATCTGTACAATCCTTCCATAACTGTAGAATTTAGAAAATTTCTAATGCCCAATTATAGTTTTCATCACCTTCATCACCCTGATTTCACTCCCAAGTCCTAACCCTAAAATAGTTGGTGGCTACGAATGAGGTGTTGAAGCCAAGGGCGTATAGGTGGATGAGAATTCTTGAGCCGCTGTGAGATTTGGCTGCTGTAATTTTTTGCATTTGCTGTTACAAAAAAGTATTGTTTGGTTGTTAGATTTCTTTGTGACGTGGGTTTGGCGGCCTTGATGTGAAAATTAATTTTTGGTTAGAATTGCATTGGTCGTTAAGTTTAAAGTTTGTTTCTTTCTTGATTGGTCCTGAATTTTTACTTAAAACATCCTATTTCCATGGAGGATTCCAACGATAAAGGGTGGCTCCGAATGGCCGATGGATAATTTCAGAGATTAAGGTGGGGTTCAACGGTTGAAGTGGAAGGAGATTGCTTTTCAATTTTCATTGCCGGAGTTGAGTGAATTCAGTAAAAATAATTTTGTCCACCCAATTTTGGTGATGGCGGAGGAGGTGGGGGGAGGTGGTGATGAGCCGCCATTCCTTCCCAACTGGAACCCGCCGTTCCTTTGCTTAATTTTCCCTTCCCATATTTGATTTTGTCTTTTTTCCGGTTCTAATTCACGGTCAACTAGAACAAGAAATTATAATTTTTATTTAGGTTCTAGTTTTGGGTTTTTTTCAAAATTAAAAAAGTAAAAATAAATTTTTTTTTATGGGTCAAACTTCGCGGGCCTCACAATTAGGAAAAAATATTAAAAAAATGATGAATTAACGGAGAGAAGAGTTAATCCATTAAATATGTAAAAGTTCTGTTAAATCGATCAAAATTAATGAGAAAAATATTTTAGGGGACTATTTTTGTCAATTGAAAATACATGGTGACTCTATCTTGCTACTCTCAAAAGTTAATGGACGAAAAGTGCATTTTGTCCTAATAACAATATATGGTTCTGGTTGAAAATAATTTTTAAGAAATATCTATACATCGATAAAAAGTAACTATACACATATAAATTTCAATTAACTAATTAGAATCATTTCATATTATGAAAGTTGATTGTACGCACTCCCTCAATCCTTAAGAAAAACATAACATTACAAAAGTACAATTTTTTATTGTTGTCATCTCAAGGTAAAACCATTACTTACGAATTTTTAATCCTGACTTTATCTAGTTTGTTTCCAATTTAAACAATGGTTTACCTCTATTTCAATTATAAGTTTAGACTTTTCAATCAAATTAGTTTTGAAATTTATGAAATTGAATTATTTTTTGGATTTTTTTTTTTTTTATGAAACTGAAACATTTTACTGCACCGAGACATATTTAATACAGGATAATAATGCTAAAAATTAGGGTTCCGGGACATGCTCTCAAAACAATGCTCACAATCATCACTTGCTAATAAATGTGAAGGATTGAACTGAAGTTAGGGTAAAAATGAAGGTGATGTGGTGAAATTAAATGGACTTGTGGATTTTTGGACCCAAGATATTTATCGAATTAGGTTATACGACATAAATGTTGACTAGTCGAGTCTTGACTTTCTTCGGAAATACCTAATCAAAGCGTTTTTAAGGGCTTGTTTGGCCAACTTTTCATTTTACCTTTTTGTCTCATTTTATCTCTTAAACATAAAATCCAATGCACTATCCAAATAATATTTTAATTTATCTTTTAAAAAATATTCTAAAAATTATTTTTATACAATTTTCATCCACCACCACTGGACCACCTCTACCATCGCCGGACCGCTCTCTGCCGCCGTTGAACTGCGGGGGAAGAGGGTGGTCCGACGACAGAGGTAGATGGTGGAGGTGGCCGGTGATGATAAAAAAAATTATTATTTTTATTAAAAAATTATCCAAATAATTTTTTAAATTTTTTCTAAAAAATATTTTAAATCACATCTCAAATTCAAACAAAAAACTAAACCAAAACGCAAAATGAGAGGTTGGCAATACAAGCCCATTTTTTCCGAGCAATTTTTAAATCTCTTTTCACTATTTCCAATGCATTTTTTCTTGTTTATATTTTAAACTAAAAAACACACGACTGAAAATATTTCAAACTTATGAGAAATATTCCCTATCCCAAAATTATCGTTCAATTTAAATTTTAAACTTTAGTATAACTTATATGTAATATAAGTAAAAATCCAAACTGGACAATAAATTTGGAAAAAAAAAATAATTAGATAATAGTCTATCTGTTTTAAAATAAAGATAGAATCACGATTCATGCAAGGAATATTTGTAACGAATAGTGCGAATGAATGATGGGCATCAGATCACATTTGTTGAATCTTAGACACATCATTTATTGTTATTTTTATTATGAATTTCCCCTCCACGTATCATCACTACTCAAAACATTAGTCAGTTTTATTAAAGATCATAACTATCTCTCGTTCTATTATGTTTCGTTGTTGATTACAATGTGACAATCAATTATCGATTTATTCGATCCATCATAACTATTATTTTCAGTTGTTGATTATAAGTATATTATCTGCGTTTATTTTTATCTGTCGTTTTAGGGTTTGTAAAACTCTTAAGCAAACAATGATTGAAACTTTAATTCTTAAGTGTATTATCTTTTTTACTTTTAAACAAAAGTATTGAATTCTACAAAAAAATTTGAAATTGGAACGTAAAGATAGTTAGTTGTCATTAATATATATTATTAAAACAAGAGACAGAGATAATGGTGAAATTGAAAAAAAAAACTATGTTTAATATTGTATTAGAAATGAAGTGCTGACACATAAAATAATTTTTTTGAATTACCCCTAAAAGGACAGATAAAAGTAAACGGATGAATTAGTGCAATTTTACAATTAATTGTTGATTTCTACGAAAATATTACTCCGATAATTAATTTGTTCACTCCCAAAGTCCACAGTCACAAGTCACACAACCACCACAAAGACATGAGCTTATGAGGAAATCACCGCATCATCTCCTTCATCGAACACATCACAATTCAAACATTGTTTGTTTGCTTCGTGGTCTTCATCATCATTTCGAGTTCTTCCATATACCTTTTCATACCAGTTTCTGGGAAGCAAACTGGAACTACGATCCCTTTCTCTCCTTGTTTATTTTCTTTTGAAACCAAATAGGCTGCCATTACAGTAAACAATACCTCCCTTGTCGATGTGGCCGGCCCACCGTAAACCGGTTTCCCCCATCCAAAATCTACCTCATCAAGCCCAATCCTTGTTAAATCCGACAACATGTAATTCAACGACGTCGCAAATCTCGGCCTCCCTCTTAAAACCATCAGGTCGGCCAACGACTTCATGTACTCTTCCGTCACTTCCTTCTTGGCCTTCATCACCAGTTCCACTGCATAGCTGAGTGGATTGTTGATTAGCTCCCCGACTGTTGTTACCGCCATTGGCATCGCAATCGCATTCCCGTAATACCCTTCTGGCAACGGAGGGTCAAATCGGGAACGACAATTCACGGAGAACATGAACGACACTTCCTCATCCGGGTTGTGGTTGAGGGCAACGGTCCAACAACGCCAGAGGGAGGCAGACAGGACGTCGAATTTGGAGCAATTATGGCGGAGGATCGGCGGGAGGGTGGCACGTACGGCGGATATGTCGGAATGGGCAAAGAATAAGGTCCGGTGGACCATGACGTCGGTGGGCTTGAACGGGACTACAGGTTTCTTGTTTGGAGCATGCTCGTATTCCCGGTGGACGCCGGTTATCCTAGGAGGGTTTCGAGCATCCAAGAGTTGTCTCATCCAAACCGGAGATATAGATGGGGCAGAGGTTCCTCTAGCTATTTCCCCACGGCCTTTTCGAATTGGGAAATGCCTGCGCCGTCTGCTATTGTGTGGTTAAACCGGCGGGCGAAGATGAAACCACCACATCGAAGCCGTGTCACCTGCAAGCTCCCCACCATCAGATCAAAATGTATACCAAATTAGAAATGAAAATTCAAATTGGAAAGTCATTTCAAAAAGATGTTAGGTCAGAACATTGCATGGTAGAAAATTCAATAAAATAATCGATAAATTTTGGAAATAAAATGTAAAATTTGTCCCTATATGTTTGAAACAAGGAGTGCATAAAATTGGAAGACTCTTACCAAATTAAGTCCATTTTATATTTATTTTTCTAATATTACTAGTTGAAGCTTGAAACCAATCAAACTAAAGATGGATACAAATTGCATGCACATATATAGTAGCATATATCTAAAATTACCTGGACAAAAAGCAACGGGGAATGGAGAATTTCATTGAAGCTTGGAACATTACCACAAAACAAATCCCCCAAGCCTGTGAATGGAGGCTGAATCTCCTCCCCAAAATCCTCCAGTGTCACGTCCGCATCCGCTTCAACAAATATTACGCCTTCCCCGGTGCAATCCACCGCTAGCTTCCCTCCAGACAGTTCTTTCAGTCGGCCGGCAAGAGGATAGTATGACACTAGGGTCTCTGCCATAGCTGACTTGATCACCTTCGCAGGGTCTTCTTCCGCCAAATGTTTCCCAGAAGAAACAATGTTGTCATGGTTATTCTCTCTTCTTCTGTAAAAATTTACGAGGGAAGTGTGCTGGCGCAGGCTTCCTTGATTGTCAATCTCAGACAAGGGTTTAATTTCCCGAGGTGTCGGCCTTGCCGGACGAACCAGCTCCGGCTTCTGCCTCATCACCTTGATGCTCCTATCCATATTCGACCTTATTTAAGATGAAGAAAAATAAAAGAAGACTGGTAAAGCTCCCGGCGTTATCGAAACAAAAAAGAAGAAGAAGAATGGTTCGGTTAATTATATGCAAATGGAATATGGAAGCTCGCCCAAATGGTAATATTTATGTGGGGGGGGGGGGCTGTAAGCTGATAAAGAAACAATGCATGCATAATAATCCCTTGAGGAAAAATTTTTTTCAGTTGGCTTGCATGGACTAATTGACCCTTGAGGAAAAAAAATTGTTTGGCTGGCTTGCATGGACTAATTGAAAGTTGACTTGCTAATACGTGCTCCACATTTTATTATACTATAAGATCGTTCATATTAGTACTTGCTTACTCTTTTTTATAAAATATACATATACTCCCCTCCTATCATCCTTAATATAAGTCATTTTAATTTATCTTAAATTGACCTAGTATGCATAATAATCCTTGAGGAAAAAATTGTTTAGCTGGCTTGCATGGACTAATTGAAAGTTGACTTGCTAATACGTGCTCCACATTTTATTATACTATAAGATTGTTCATATTAGTACTTGCTAACTCTTTTTTATAAAATATACATATACTCTCCTCTCGTCGTCCTTAATATAAGTCATTTTAATTTGTCTTAAATTCACCTAATATGCATAATAATCCCTCGAGGAAAAAATTGTGTAGCTAGCTTGCATGGACAAATTGAAAGTTGACTTGCTAATACGTACTCCACATTTTATTATACTATAAGATCGTTCATATTAGTAATTGCTTACTCTTTTTTATAAAATATACATATACTCCTCTTTTGTCGTCCTTAATATGAGTCATTTTGATTTGTCCTAAGTTCACCTAGTATGTATTTTTAATTTGAAAAAAAATCTTAAAAGTATATTTTCATATTCGTTGTGTCTCTTGATTGTTAGGAAATATTTTTAAGATTTTTTTGTCAATTAAAAATGCATATGTTAAATCTTTTATAATTTTAAAAACGTGAAAATAGTACATAATTTTAAAAACGTAAAAATAGTATATAATTTTTTTAAAATTTTAAAAATTAATACGCGTATTTTTTTAATTAAGTCACATAAATTTTTTTTATTATTTTACGTTACTATGTGTCATTTATAGTTTAAAATACAGTATCATTACTAGCAATTATATTTATTGATTGGATCGTGATATGTTATCTTAATCTGTACCAAAATATATATAACTGATATTAGTGATATATAATCCATGTACAAATCACGTGCAAAACATGTACAAATTATGTGTATATATATACATATAAAGTTGACAAAAAATTGATTGATTGATATATGTTATTCATGTACCTCACTGAAAAATATTTAAACTTCGCCACTAAGTTAATTGATAACAAATTCTCACGATAACTTTGTTGCACAACTCCTCTTTTTTGGTTAAAGGATGTTTAGTCTGTTATAGTGTAGTATAATCAATTGGCAGTGCCATAGCCATCTCTTCTATATATATATATATATATATATATATATATATATATATATATGTATGTATGTAGAGTCTCGAGTTAGAGCAAAACCATAATCATATTAATTACCAATAAATTAAAAAAAAAATAGTAACAGCATATATAGCGACATATAGCAAGATGGCTACAAATACACTAGTGTTATAACTTTCATTCTTGTTGTCATTTCAAGCGGTTGATGCAACATTCAACCTCTTTGTTATGGGTTATCGGTGGCCAACAAACTTATGTTAAAAATCCAGAATCACATGCCAAAAGAGTCCTCCGCAACCTAATAATTTCACAATCTACAGCCTCTCGCCGAACAACCACTACAAAAAAAAAAAAAAAGTCTCTTTGGTGACATGCATATTAAGGCATTTTAAAGTAAATGTCTTGATAAATATGAGTAATTAAGAAACTAGCACTAATTTTCCTTAATAACAGGCCTAACAAGGCGTTTAGTTTTTTTTAAAAATGGGTTAGTTTTTGGTGACACAGTTACCAATGCGTTAATTTTTTTAATAAAGAAACCTTTATTCCCTTCGTGATAAACTAAGGGAGTTTTTTTTCTTAGTTTTTTTTTTAATTTACAGAGTTTAAATCAAATGCAACTTCCACTTAAGTTAATTCCATGTTCCCCCAATCCCCACTCTCCCATAATCCCATTACCTCTCTTCGCCTCCTTCCCAAGTTCCCATCTTTCACCTAAATGTCGATTTTTAACTTTTTCTCTCAATCTCCCCATCCCAAACTTTTAGTTGTCGGTGGTTGTCTCATCTTTTTCTATCCCCATAAATTTAAGTAGTACCTTAACTCCATTAGGTTTTTTTTTTGCTCTCTTTTTGGATGATTTTCATCTTTGCATTTATGCTTTAAGATTATTATTTTTACAGTTGGTTCACAGTGGGAAGAAATTAGATTTTTTCTTTGTTTTGTTTCCAATGAAGATGATAACGATATTTGCTTAATTTCTTTTTTTTTTTTTTTGTTTAAGAATTTATCTCTCAAACTGATTACTTCTTATGATTTCGTGCTCATGCGTTACAGGCAGATTCTAGATTCGTGGTCAACAAGATGAATTACGACAATTTTATATGAAGATATTGAGTTTTATTTCAGATACCAATCAATTGTTACACTTGTTCGTTTTATGCATCTTTTCTTATATTTCTTCCACAAATTCATTTCATCTATTGTACAAGTAGTCCCTTTTTGTGGGATATTGCTTTGTATATGATAAAATTATGAATTTATTTTGGATCTTATTGTTGCTACTTATTCGAATGTTTGTCTTGAAATTGTGGTTCCATGGAGTAACTGAAGTTAGATTGATTGTTTGAGGTTTACTTGATGGGACAAGGTTGGAAGGAAGTCACATATTCAAGTTTTGTTAGAAGGGAAAGCTAACCACGAATTTTGAGTTCTACCGTCAAAGATTCAACGATTTTTTTTTCCCCAAATAGATTAGGATTTGTAACTATTAGCTAAATGGTTTTTTGACAAGTTTTAGAGGTAGGTTATTATCATCATGTTTATGATGGAATTCCGACATCATGTTTGAAGTATTTTGTAAAGATTGGTTATAGCAATATATACAAAAATTTTAATTTTCTACAATTCTTTTTAATTTAAGGTAATCTTTGATGAAGGAAAAGTACTATTCTGTCAATAAAACAAAAAAAAAATAAAATTAAAAGAGATTATTTTTCGTGACAACAACAAATGTCATGTAGACGAGTCGGTAAAAATCCATCGTAAAAGTCTACACTTTATAACGACACTAAAAAGTGTCTCAATTACTTACTTAACCTATCATGACATGAGAATATAGAATCATTTACCAAAATATTGTGTTTGTACCACTGGTCGCCTGAAATACAAGGATCAAAAGGAGTGGTCAGGAAATAACATTACCGGAAAATCAAATTCCGTTTTTAAGAACTACAGTAATAAAAACGGAATTTCATTTACCGGTTATCATATAATTAAGAGTACTTATTGTTTTGACTGGATGATTATGACAAAAACGAAAAACCATTTTTCGTCTTAATAAAATTCATTAATTAAAAAAAATTCGTATAATAATAATACCGGGAAATAATTTTCATAGATAATACTCGGAATTTGGTTTTCCGTTTTTAACTTGGAATGTTTTAAAAAAAAAGTAAAGCCTAAAGCTCACCAACCTGTGCAATACCAATAAACAGAACCAAATCTCCATTCAAACAGAAACAAGCAGCAACCTGTGCAACACCAATAAATAGAACCAAAGCTTCATTCAAATAGAAACAAGCAGCAAAAGTATTCAGTCCAAATCACAACCACAAAAATTCCAGCAACTAATCCATGTCTAAATCATGGAATTATCCCCAAATGATGTCCAAAACAGTTCAAAACTACGAAATACAACCTAAAAAGAAATTACTCCTCCGGCGATGGCGGCGTGGACCTAGAAGGTGTATACTTTTTAGGTGGCCTGCGTTTCCGATCCTGTTTTCTTTTTGCCAAAGGTAGCCTGGATTGCTGCAAAGTTTGGGATGCCTGAAACTCAGCATCTTGCTCTATAGTTGGGGTCACCTCAATCTCAATACCTTGCTCCGTAGTAGTTTGTTCCTGCTCCATAGTAAACATAGTTTGTTCCCCAGTAAACATAGTTTGTTCCTGGGGAGATGGAGTTTGAAACAAGTTTGCAAAGAACTCATTGGATTCTACTACTTTCTTTCTTCCTCCAATTCCAGCCTTAGGGATATTAGCCCTGCGATGTTTAGCAACTGTTATGGGTCTTTTAGGTTGAATTTGGAGAACCACTTGGCTTGGATACAAAGTAGGCATCTCTGTCGGGACAATCGACAAGGCATTCTCAGCCAAAGCAGAGATTGAATCAGAAAATTCCTCACATGTCGCATTTGAACAGCATTTCTCAGCCTTGTACGTTTCGACCTTCTTGAGAATGTCATTCAAAGTGCCCTTCTAGAATTTTGCAAAGAGAAAAAACTATAAAATAACTAAAAAGAATACAAAATAACAGTAATCTATTGGAAATGGCAGTTGAGAATTACAATAAAGAAAGGTGTGAGGAAAACTTACATATAATTTTGCCCGATCTGATTGTTGAAGAAACCCCTCCACCCTTTTGGTCATATTTACTAGGATCCGTACTGAATCTAACGGTCCTGGATTGATACCACAGAAGATAATCATCAGTGGCTAAAGGTAGCCCATTAGATGATGGGCCTTCCTCAATGGAGCTCAATCTGTCATCCCAAGAGTCAATGTATTCACGATTCTTATCCACCCAATTAGTCCCATGATATCCAGTCTTACCATAACGATGGATTTTTTCCCATTGAGTCTTGTTGGCAATCAAGGGTGGTTCTGGGATAGTTTGGATTTGTCCAAATTGTCGCAGGACACGATCGAGTTGATGTGGTTCCGTGACATCAAAACAAATCAACCACGTTTTTGATTGCCAACATTTTTGACCCCGTGTACAAGAATCAACAAGCTTAGGGAGGTATTTAGCATAAGGCATCCAAGTGAACCGACAAATTAATTAAAAAAACAGAATAAAAGTGTTTTAATGTCCAGATTTGAAAAATTGAAAAAAAACAGTTCTGAAAAAGGGGAAAAAAAATCCAATTATCTTGAAGGATTTGAAAAATAGTCCTGAAAAAATAAAAAAAAAAATCCAGCAGTGAAAAACAAAATGTCCAGATTTGAAAAAATGAAAAAAAAACAGTGCTGAAAAAGGGGGAAAAAAATCTAATTGTCTTGAAGGAATTAAAAAACAGTCTTGAAAAAATAAAAAATAAATCCAGGTTTAAAAAACAAAATGTCCAGATTTGAAAATTAAAAAAAAAACAGTCCTGAAAAAATAAAAAATAAATCCAGGTTTAAGAAACAAAATGTCCAGATTTGAAAATTAAAAAAAAAACAGTCCTGAAAAAATAAAAAATAAATCCAGGTTTAAAAAACAAAATGTCCAGATTTGAAAATTTTTTTAAAAAAAACAGTCCTGAAAAAGGGAAAAAAAATCCAATTGTCTTTAAGGAATTGAAAACAGTCTTGAAAAACACCAAAAAAAATCCAGGTGCCAAAAGTCCAGAATAATCTGAGCTCTTACATGATTAGGTGTAGTAAGAGCTGAAAATTGATCTCGGTAGGCAGTGATAGTATGAGCCGGTACCCCAGAAAGGCCCAAAGGAACGCACCACCTATGGGAAAAATAATAAACTGTGTAACGTTTCCAAGCAAACTAAAATAAGTGTAACAATAAAAATTAAAAAATATAAGTATATGTACATAACTCACCTTGCACCAAACGCATGGTCCTTGAAAAATTCTTCATCACATTGCCTCTGTGGTCGTATCACAGGGATACGCTCCCACGCCCACAGCTATACATAAAAACAATGACAAGCTGTAAATTTCAATTTTTGTTTAAAAAAAAATAGTGACTGAGAAGTAAAATTTAAAAATGACCTGCAAAAGAAGTAGGCAACCACCAACATTCCAATTTTTGCTTTGTGCTGTCTTACAAAGACCTTTGTAAAGCATAGCGAGACATGCACTGCCCCAGTTAAGTTTAGCACAATCCTTCATGTTGCGTAACAATGACAAATAACACAAGGAAACTGTATCAGTTGAGTCAGGAAAAAGTATACCGCCTAAAGCCCACATTAGAAAGACCCGTGCCCTCTTTTCATAAGCAGGTTTTTCAGAATTCTCAGCAATAGGCACAGCTACTTGTTTTTTTAAGGATGATATGTAAATGGTGTTTCCTTTGAAGGTGGGTACGAAATCCAAAAGTTCTTCACACATAGCAGGCCAGGCTGTCTTCTCTACAGGGTTGTGCGTAACAGGGGGGCCATCTACATTTAGACCTAGTAGAACCTCAACGTCTTGGAGAGTGATGGTTGCTTCACCCATTGGGAAGTGAAAGGTATGCGTTTCAGGACGCCATCTTTCGACCAAGGCAGTAATAAGATGGTTGTCTAGTTGCACATGTCCGTTCGACAACAAAAACGCAAAACCAGCTTCATGAATACATTCTACTACCTGCTTAGGTGCGCCAACAAACTCTCCCCAAATGCGACTATTATTTCTACTACCTGCTCAGGTTGCCCCAACGTGCATAATCCAAATCATAGGCAAGACTCCACCTTGCTTTTGGAATAGCACGCATATATGCTTGACCTGCTTCATTGCACTCATCCAACTTCGCCCAAAATCTTCTAAATTTGTGCGCTTGCAACTTCTTTCCCAATCTCCAGCACACCCAAGCTGTTTGTCGCGGTTGGCTTTTGTGTTTGGACATCATATTACTCCGAACGTGTCGAAGACAATACCTGTGGTATCTCAAACTTGGTTTGTCCCACAAATCAGGATTTTTTTTTCAGTGCACTGATTATCCCTTTATGCCGATCTGATAGGAGACATGTGACTCTGTTGAAGAGAACGTGGATCCTCAAATTTACCAGAAAAAATGACCAACTCTCCTCGGTTTCTTCATCCACAAGTGCAAACGCGATAGGCAGAATATGCTTGTTAGCAGTTTTCACCATTCCTACAAGTAACTTCCCCTTGTATTGACCACGAAGGAACGTGCCATCGATGCTCACAACTGGAGGGCACTTATGAAATGTCTCAATAGCAGGACCAAATGCCCAGAAAACATATTTGAAGGTCCGATACTCTTCATTTTCAGTCCCATCCTGCCATTTCCACTCAACAACTGTCCCGGGATTAGACTTCTGCAGTGCTGCCATATACCTATATTATTTTTAAAAAAATCAGACAAACATGTTAAAATCGGTCCAGCAAAGTATAAAAACAAAAAAAGAAAGTGCATAAAGTAAATAACTAAAAAAATAATCCATAAAAATTAAAAATCGTACCATGGTAATTCGGTAAAATTATCGATCCAATTGCCCCACACCGCTTCGATGGCTTTTCTTCTTGCATGCCATGCTCTCTTGTACTTCACATCCACCTTATAATGTTTCTTCACATCATCTCTTATTGACCTCACTAAATAATCTGGGTCTGTTTCAACATTACGCATTATAAGTCTGGCAATCACGCCGGCTGTTATATTGCGATTGTCATTTTCTGTGGTACGTCCCACACAATTGTGTCGATCTGTCCAGTTTACAATTTCAAAAGGACCATGAGGCTTACGAAACGCACGCATCCTCCATCCACAAGTTGATTGGCCAGGTGGGGTTTCCGTTTTTCTGGTTATGCACTCTGCAACCCACGATTTCGGGTCAGAATATTAAATATAATGCTGTCTATTCTGCCAGGAGCTCCAGTCAGCCATAGCGGCCCTAATCTCTTCCTTGTCATTGAAGCACGTCCTTAAACCAATGTTTTCTTTCTTTCCTTTCCACATCTTAAGTGCAAATTCATCTCGGTCTATTGACGCGGCATTGAAGTCACCAATATCTGAATAAACATGCTGACCTTGATAAGAAGTGATTAATTTTTCTGCCTGTTGTTGTTGTTGTGGCTCTTCTTCGCATCGTCATCGCCGCCATCCGCCACAGATGTTTCATAATCACTTTCTTCTTCGCTTTCAATATAAGTACCATCTGATTCATCATCCTGATCCGAATCACGTCCATTATTTTCATATCTGCCTTGAGCCTCGGTAACGAATCGATCCTCGCTGCTCCTGCTTAGCCCTGCTTCTGCGTTTTGTTGAGAAGTACTCGCCCAATGTGACTGTGACCAAAATGTGTTCGGTCCTCCTTCTGTATGTTGATAGAAAGTACTGCCCCATTGTTGTTGGGACGCAAAAGGACCCATCGTTTGTCCAGAAAGATCCAGTAAACTTTGGGCATGAACTATCCCTTCATTTTCTACATACAGATCCAAATTTGATGATCCAGGAAAATAATAAATAATTTCCAAAGACGAGTCATCAGTGATTGTCGCGGTCCTTCTAATACCGTTAGTTTCAAACAACAATGTAGTTCTCAAATTCACAGGATATCTATCCCATCCGGCTTTATCACAAATTCTGGCGAAAAACTCAGAATATGACAATTTCTGTTCAATAAATAATGTGCCATCTGCTCTGTTATCAAAGGTTCTAATCGTATCATCCTCTATAACATACTTACTTCTCCAATATACATTAATAAAATACGGACCATTCCACTCCATTTTCTCCTGTTTAAATGTAATAATCCATAATAAATTACTGTAATTAACAATGACATTAAAATCAACTAAACATGACCCTAGAAATCTTAATAAAAATATATACAAAACAAATTATTCCATATAGCATATATGATTACTGATTTCGTAAATCATCTCACCATTAAATATAATTACACTAATTCAAACAATTGAAAAAAAATAATAAACGAAATAACACGTAATAAATAAGATTAAATCATTACTAACCTTCTTAATGATGTAAATGTGGCATAAAAAACAAGCTAAAGCTGCACTTCCTTCTCCAAAACTGTCCAGAATTGTATATTTTCTTTCAGATTCAAAACTATCAAACGAGTAAACAGTGAAATTGTTCAATTATAAATGAACCATAAAACGGAATTCAAATTTCCGTTTTTACTGATAAAACATGGTCCGACCGGTCACGCTTACAGAGCGTCAGTGTTACGTCAGTGTCAGCACAATTATTGTTTTGCACATTCAAAATTATAAACGGAATTTGGATTTCCGTTTTTCGACACAAAAACCGGAATTTGGATTTCCGTTTTTGCTGAAAAGCACTGTCCTCTATCCAGTGGGTCAGTATCAGCACAATTATTTAGATTCCATTCCAAACACGGAATTCCAATTTCCGTTTTTTAACTTTTTTTTTGCGTGGAAATTTATTTTCCCTTTTTCGTCGATATTATTCGCACCAATTTTATAATTTATTAATGGAATAAATAAAAACAAAAATCGGATTTCCATTTTATTAATGAGAATTAGTAAAACGGAAAACCATTTTCCCGTATAGTTAGATTCTGACCACAAAAAAAAAAGAAAAATAGTTACATGTCTTGTCCATTTTTTCACCTAATATTCTTGTCCAACACCCTGAGAATATACCAGACAAACAAACAATGCATTTAAAAGTCTAATGCCTCAATAGCATATTTATTAAGGCATTTTTTAATATCAAAAAACTCATTTTTCTTGTAGTGAAAATCATTGTATGTTTGAGGCAGTGCAATAAGGAATGTATGTTTCGGAAGATGTGGGAGTTTGGGATGATCCCAATGAACCCAATGGAGTCGTAATGATTAATTGTCCTACAGTCTCTGATGGCAATAAATTTTACCGATCTTCAACGTGTCTCAATCCTTCAGGAGCATCTCAATCGATATACTACTTCCGATCCTTATCATAAAGCATTTTGATAATGTTAAGTAATCCTAAATGTTTGTGATCTGTCTCAGTCTTTCTATCCCGTTGCTTTGCCACGGATTGAAGTCCATGCATGTGAATTGTAATGATTGATGTATTGAACAAGCAACGCCAAATGGATTTTATTTGAGTTATATATTTTAATGAGAAAAAGGAAGTTACCAGTTGTTAGGGTTGACAATCTCCAGCACGACCCGAAATTTCGACATGAACCCGACACGAAATAAGCGGGTTAGGGTTGAGAAATAGGACCGGTATAATAAACAGGTCGGGTTAGGATCAACCCGTTTATTATACAGGTCGGGTGTGGGTCAACCCGTCGAGTTACCCAGGTCACCCGTATATGTTGGTTATTTAGTAATTTATGTTGTTTCCTATGGGCTATTGTGGAATTTAAAGAAGATACACTAATCTAATAAAACCCCTTCGTTCCCTTGTACTCTTCTTCATTCACTTCCTTTCTCCCAAGTTTGTACCGCCATCCTCTCTAATTTCTCCCGTTCCCAAAAGTATGAAGTCTTGAAGGAAAACATCCAAAATCCACTATTTTTCACTCGGTTACATCAATTCTTGAGAGTTTGTTAGTTTATATGGCTTAACCTATTGATTGATTGATATGCAGTTAGTTTTTTTCCCCTCATTCCCAACTTTTAGTTTAATATTTTGGCCCCCCTTTTTTGGCCAATTTTGCTAAATTCTTTTTCCCTTTCCATTCGGTCGACGGATTTTGAACTATTTGAGTACATATATATACTGTATATAATTAATTTAGTGAAATATATATGGTTTTCAGTTCAATAGTTGCAACAGATGGTTTTTGGAGTCTCTTTCTTGGTGATTTTTTTTCTCTTCCGGAGGTGTGGTTGCTTCATTTTTATGCGAGAGATCAAACTTCTATTGTTGTAGGTGAATTTTTTCATTTTGGTTAAGCAGCTAGTGATTCAGGGGAATGAAACGAACATTTTTTGTTTTAAAAAAAATAAGTGCAATATATTTTTTACGGGTTAGCAGGTCGGGTCATGGTTACTCGTATATTTTCAGATCGGGTTAAGGTTCTAATATGTGACTTGTATATTTATTCATGTCGAATTCGGGTTGGCCTAAATTTTCCCGGGTTTGGGTTCGACCCGACATACCTACCCGAAGGATTGCCAGGCCTACTAGTTGTTGCTGCCCAAAGGCATTTATATTGTTATTGGTAAATTAGGATTCTTATTTTTTATTTTTTATTTTTTATTTTTTGAAAATGAGGATTCTTATTGATGTTTTATTCAATGCCGATTAATTTTTTATTTATTGCTGAAAAAGGTGTCCATAAAACATAATCTATAATGAAATATGCCTTTAAATTTGTATAAATGGTACTTAAAACCCACAATTCTTGTGTAGATATAATACAAATTTGTAAATACACATAATGTGGGATGATATGGTAGTAGTAAACTAGGCCACAAAGAACAAAAAAAAAAACAAATAAAAGGTCTTGGTTTGCATTATAGTTCTGCTCAAAGTTGTTGCAATAAGTCATAATGCCAGTCACGCAACTACTATATTTTTATTTGATTGCTAAAGTAAGGGCTTCGGTTAAGGCCTGCCGCATGGTAGAGATGTTTTTTTTTAAAAAAAAAAAATTAGTATAGGTCTTAAAAATTTTGAAAAATCTCTCCCAAAATCTACTCCTATCAACTTCCATCATGATACCACAATCCTAACCAATATCTGCTAGGAGGGCTCACACTTCTGGGAATTACACTTTTAATTTCAATCTGTATTATTGAGTACTTCTATACATCTCGAGAACTTATGTACGGCTTTTTTCTTTGGGTAAACTTGGGCAGGGCCCTGAGTCATGGATTAATACAAAACGCCTCAATGTATGGTTTGCTTATCATTATGATTTGAGAATAAATTTACTTGAAAATAAGTACATAAAAGTTGATATTTGCACGAAAAGATTGTAGTGTGACTAAATTCATTGGGGAGGTTTAGACACGGACACGCTCACTTGTAGAATGGTGTTATGATGGGGATAGGTTTTTGGGTCTCTTGGATGATAATGCAGTTTATTCTTGTGGAGGATCAATTGGAATTAAAAATAATATGACTCTGAATTATTCAGCTAATGTTATGATGATGGGTTAGCTCCAAGTGTCCCTCTGCTAAAAGCAAATCAGATGGATTTGCCAGATTCGAAGGTGTCAGAATGAGGAGATATGGAGAGCTCTTAAGGAGATGAATCCTCTTAAAGCTCTAGGAGATTCTATAACATCCATTTGAGATTAATCCTCTTATAGCTGTTGGAAAAATTTGGCATCCTAATTCCTAACTTATAAATGGTTAGGATTCAAAGATCTGCTTTGTAACTCTTAGGCTTTAAAGCCACTAATTGAAACTATGTATGATCCGTCGCCCGCAAATTAGTAGAATCAACAATATAATAGTATGATTCGGAACACCAGACACTTGCAATTGGTAACATTCAAGTTAATGAAAGACGTGAAAATTTTCATATGAATTCAAAAGAAGTACAAGAGAGAAATGGCCATATATTATACATTCCACAAGCAATCAATAGAATGTACGGAATCTTACATGTCTATTATGAGTTTAACAAACAAGCTTATTGCACATCCATTGACAGCCTTTCCATGTTACTACTTAACTTGGATTTAAGAGAAAAGGGACATATGTAGGAAATTTGCTAAGCTTTAAGAACAACACAGATTCATATTGATGAAAATACTTTTATTGTATGAGAGTAAGTTAGACCAATTGTTGATTTCAACATTGGCAATTGAAACTAGTAAATAAAAGCTACAATGTATCCCACATTTACAGTTATGATGTGAATAAATAACATCAATTTAAGAAAACAAGTGCAACAATAGGCATCATTTACTCCACACACTAATAATGAAAAGTGGCCTAATCCGGGGACAAAAAGTATCATACTAGAGAGAAAAAAAAAGGAAGTTCAAAACCATAAAAACGATATGTCTGCAACACAAGTCAAACTGGCAACATAACCAACCATCTAAAGAAACCAGGGAATCATATATATTCAAGAAACTTTGTCAAGCTTATAGTTCTTCAAGAGAAATTTGTTAGGAGATTACTTTGACCACTAAAATCATCTACTCAGACTTCCCTCAGTCCTTCTTCTTCTCTGAGAGAGGTAGGGGTAGGATGTGTAACATGGTCTCAAGATAAATCATCATCCTCCTATTAGAACCTTCCCTTAAATACTCATGTTGCACGAATCCTACGTCTTCATATGTGCACAATCGGCCAGAGTAGTTATCACGCTGCCAGTCAACCTCTATAATCTGAATGTTGTCGATCCATGGTGTTAAAAACTTGACGGGTAAATAGGGTTATGCATCTCCAAATGTGGCTAATGGAACATTTGTTGACCCATGAGCCATCATCTCCTTCGGTCCATAGACTCATTCTCTCAACCCCAAGCCCAACATGAGGAGTAGACCTATAATCTGAGATCACCAGACACAAGGATCCATCCAACTCAGCCAATCAGGGAGCTTCTGGCTATCTATCGTGGAATTGATCAAGGTCCAAATTAACAACAACTCCTCCATGAAGTTGCACCTCGTTGAGTGACTCAAATATCATGTCAAACTTGTCCAGCTTGAACCTGTGGCCTTCTTTCCGCATCAATCCCAACTTCTTCTGTAACCATAGATAATATTACAATGATGTGATTGTGTCTCCCAATGCTAAATCCAAGGCATTATTTTTTAGGACCCCTCACAGCTTGATTC